GAGCCAGTAGGATGTTTACATGCAGGGGATCCAGGTTCAGTCTCCTGGTATTATCCCCTGTGCCCTGACAGGAGTAAATCCTGAGCACTGCAAAGTGTGGCCCCCAAAATAAAACAAAGATTTTTGTTCATCATTCAATGATGTATGAAAACTTTTATGCAAGCCTGATTAATTTGAATTCTGGCTGTGACATATAGTAGTGTGAGATAAGCAAGGACTTAATCTGTTAGTGTTTCCATTTGCTTTTCTATAGATTAATAATATATCAGTGGTATTTTAAGAATTAAATGAGAGTCTGTAAATATTTAACACTATTAAATATTTAAATGGTACATTGTTGTACAAATATACACTGTGTACTTTGGCTTTAGTTTAATAACATCCATATGAAATTATTTGACTTCCCCCTCTTTCTTCCCTTTTCTGGGCAGGAGACTTGGGGTTTTGTTGGGGGGGGGGGGGCTTTTGGCGATGTGCAGATCTTACTCCTGATTGCTCAGGAATCACTCTTGGTCGGGCCTGTTGGGGTGGTAGGAATTGAATCCAGGTCAGCAGTGTGGCAGTCCTCAAGCACCTTGCCTGCTGAACTCTTTCTCCAGCCCCTGATTTGATTTTTTTTTAATTTCAAAAGATGATTTGGTTTTTCGGCCACCAACCAGGGCTTACTCCTGCCTCTCTGTCGACCAATTACTTCTGGTGGAGTTTGGGGTGCCATATGAGGTCCCAGGGATTGAATCCAGATGTCCATGTACAGGCAAGTGCCCTACCTGCTGTACTGTCTCTCTAGCCTCTGACTGAGGTGGTTTTTTTTTTTTTTTTTGTAAATAATTTCATTAAAAGAGGAGAGAGAAAAGTTACTATGTTGAGACAGTACAAATCTCTCTAGAGGAAATAGAGAGCTTCTAGTGTAGAAAAAGAAGAAAAAGAATTCCACACCTGTTGTGTCTGATTCCAGAGTGGAATGCACCCTTTAAAAATGTTTATATCCAGTTATATTAATATACTAGAGCAATTATTGACCGTATTCTTTAAAGATTAGGATATAAACATTTTGGTCTCTTTCAGTTATTCAACCCGCTATTATCAATTGAAAGCAGCTATAGACAATTTAGTATAAATAAATTGCTGTGGCTAGGTTTCAGTAAAGTAATATTTATGGCTGGGGAGTAACTCAGAGAGTTGGAGCACATATATTTCTTAATTATTGGATGTTTGAAATAAGGTCTTAAGTATTTAATGCAGACACAACCATATTTGTATTAACTAAGCTTCTTTTTTTCAAGTGACTTACTTGGGTCAGAGTACTAAAATGAAATTGTAGAAATCAATATGTATCCACACAAAGACCTTCTCAGAATGCAAGAGCTGAAGTAGAGAATGTCAGCTACTAATAGTGAGCTGATTACTTTTTTGTGGATTCTTTTGGGCCACTGGATATGCTGAGGGGTCACTTCATCTCTGAGCTTGGGAGATCATGCTAGAATCTAACTTGGTCCTTGTGCATACACTCAACCTTTGATCACACTCAGCCCCATAATTTTGTTACTTAATATGTGTATTTTTCCCTTGTCTGATTTTGTGGTGAAAGTTATATCTCTAAATTTTTTTATAGTATGATTTTGTCCAGTTATGCTTTGTAGGATATAAATAATAGAGAAGATGGGTAACTAGGAGGGAATGGTATATGTGTCTTAATAAAGTAAAAACAGACCAGTACTACTATTGTTGGTATTTCTACCACCACCACCCTTTCGATAGCACAGCGGGTAGGGCGTCTGCCTTGCACGCAGCCAACATGGCCGACCCGAGTTCGATTCCTCCGCCCCTCTCGGAGAGCCCGGCAAGCTACCGAGAGTATTCGATATGCCAGACACAGTAACAACAAAGTCTCCAATGGAGACGTTACTGGGCCCGCTCGAGCAAATCGATGATCAACGGGAGGGCCTTTACTTTACTTTACTTTACCACCCTTTAAAAAAAAAACCTGATTTTATTAGATATATTAGACCAATGGTTGGCAATGATTTTCTTCAAAAATTACTGTTAACTTTCAAAAGAAAGCACTTCCACTTTCAAAAGAAATCAGTTATTGTACTTTTTTTCCCTCATAAACGGGGATGTTAACAGTTTTTAAAAACAAAGGGTTTGATGAAATAGATTAAAATAAATTTTCTTCCCTGAAATTTTACTGTTTCTTGCTCTCTTATTTTTGGCTTATTTTTTATTTTGGTGCCACACCTGTCTGTGCTCTGGGCTTACTCTTGGCTCTCAGTTCAGGATCACTTCTGGTAGACTTTGTGCTAGGAGTCAAATGCAGGTCCATTGCCAATGCCTGCACCATCTCTCAGGCCCACCGTGCCCCTTCCCTCCTCTGAGCCATCTTTCAGCCTTCTATAGTTTTTGTGACCTGCCTTTATGTTGCATATATTTGCAGATTGATACACCTGAAATTGCTTTGCTGACTTAATACAGGTAGTAGGGTAGTTGACTAATCTGAAATTTGAGGACCTTCTTTGGTTAGCTATATTAGGATGTTCTTTTGTAAGATTAATCTGGAAGTTAAAATTACGAAGGGCATTTAAAAATTGTTTATTTTAAGGGGCCAGAGCAATAGAACAAGTTAGGGCATTTACCTCTCATATAGCCAACCCCGGTTCAGTACCCAGCATCCCTTATGGTCCAGGAGTAATTCCTAAATGCAGAGCCAGGAGTAGTAACTACCCCCACTCCCCCCACCCTAGCATTGTGGGTGTGGTCCATCCTCTTCCCTCCCCCATCCCCTTTATTTCTAGGGTATTTTTCTGTACAGAAGAGGACAGTGGTGGGTGTTGGGGTGGGGGTCCTTGGTTTTGTTGTTGTTTTATGAAAACAGGACCCAAGTGATGTGATAAACCTTGCTTGGAGCTCAGTACGCTGTGACTGGTCGTATCTTTTGTTTGTTCTGGGGCCCTATGCTGCATCCTGGGGGCTACTCGCCCTGAGCCTGTGCAAAGCCTGCACACTTTCCCTCTGAGCTGCCTTATACTGGCCCTAGTCCAGGATTCTAAAAACCCTTTATAGTACTTTAAGGAGTTAGGGGTTCTCAACAAATTTTTATCTGTTTATTTTTTACTCAGACAAAGTTCTGTTCTTTTTAAGCTTTGCTATAAGGTATTAGACATTTTAGACATTGTCTGTTATGGTATTCACAGTTAGAACTGTATTACTGTATTGGCAATATATGCAACTAATAACATGTTCTTTGTGTGAAGTTCTGAGGAAGGGCAGTATCTCAGACTTTCTGCTGTTGTTGTACTCTGTAGTATTGAAAACTGAAATACCATGTTCTTTCATGAACTTGTCTCCCTTGCCCCTCAGAATTCTTGTAAAGAAAACTCGCTTCTCTCTCTCTCTCTCTCTCTCTCTCTCTCTCTCTCTCTCTCTCTCTCACACACACACACACACACACACACACACGCATACACACACGTACTATAGAATCATTAGAATATTTTCTAGATGTAGGTTTCAAAATCTTGAATGAACTAGTATTTGGCCATTATTTGAATATAGCTTGTTATGGGTGCACTGTTTTTAGGTCCGACTTCCCTTTTGCAAATTACAGCATACTTAGAGAATGCCAGTGTTTGGGTAAACAAACAGGTTCCTGGAGGAGAAAGATATAGAGACTTGGTACCCAGGAATATCTAGGCAAGTAGAGTATCTCTTTTTGGCCCACCAGTATATGCCAGTTTCTACAGTGCAGTGGCAGATATGCCACAAAACTTGGGTTTAGTTTGCTAGTGGTACACAGATCTCGCTTCTGTGCTTTGTTTTGGGGCCACGCCTAGCACTGGCTGTTTAGGGCTTATTTCTGGCTCTGCACTCAGGGACGACTCCTAGCAGGCTCAGGGGCTGCCAGAGATAGAACCTTGGTCGGCTGCATGCAGGGCAAGCAGCTATTGGGCTTTAAAATAAAATATCTTTAACGTTTTTAAAAATACAGATGTTTTACTGTAATTTTTTTATCTTATTCTATGATTTCTATAACAGATCTTCATATAGGGTGCTTTTCACATATTATCCTTCCTAATCTTTGATGTATTTGAAGTTTGTGCTTCTAATCTTTATTATTTTGCTATAGAAGTCATTACAATGCAAGGCAAATAGTAGGATGACTTGTCAATACTTATGTCTGGCTTTATAGTCATTCAGTGTAGAAATGGTTCTCTACTTCTGTGTTATGTATATGCATAAGAGTAAAACATTACATTTTTTCTTTCTGATAATTTATGCTGGTAGACTGTCTGGTCTAATGTTTGTAACCTGGAAGCAGGCACAAGCAGTCAAAATTATGTGCATATTTTGGTGTGCATTTTTGTAGTATTCTTTTGGAAAATGAATAACATTTAGTATATTCTCAACAAGTTCAAAAGAGATGGAAGTGACATATACATTGGCCAGTGAAATTTAATCTCCAGTGTCATATAAAATTATTCATTTTATTCCATTGTTTGGTGTTTAGGGCCATATTCAGCACTGTGGCCCCACAGCTATACTGAGAAGTGGGCTTATGCAAGAGGCCAGGGGCGTGGCTCAAGTGTGGGCGTGAGGCCTTTCATTCTGTTTCTGCACCACTGGAGCCTCCCACCATGAATTACTGCAGAGTGATCATGGGACCCCGGGTATGACCCCTACAAACTCCAGTGCATCTAAGAGAGAAAAAGAGCACTATAAGTAGTGTTTTCAAATTGTTGATTTCTCTGTTCACAGATAGTGAAATATGAAGCCATTAATACTTATTGTTATGTTCCCATTTGTTTAAGTTGTTGACGGTGTCATATTGGCTTGTTCTGGGGGGGACTTTTTCAGCACCCCAAAATTTCATGAAATTTTAGGTTTATTTTGCTGCAATAGCAGACTGGTATATAAACTTGGATTATTTTGGGGAGATTATGCTAAGTTCTAGAACTGTAAATTGGGAAAGAACCTAATATCTTTTTCTTTCTTCAATTATACAGCAGATATAATTTCTACAGTAGAATTTAATCATTCTGGAGAATTACTAGCAACAGGAGATAAAGGTGGGAGAGTTGTCATCTTTCAACAGGAGCAGGAGGTAAGTGTTTTAAAATTTAATATCTAAATTTTAGTTCTTTGGAACTGAAACTTGTATTGCACTGGAAAATCTTATCAGGGAGTGTCTCTTTCTTTTTTTTTTTTTAAAGGAAGTATCTATTCATGGAAAAGAGTAACCAATGTGTAGATCTGGTTCTTCTAATTTTGTGTGTGTTCCTATGTGGGTTTTTTTGTGTTTTGTTTAATAACACTTCCATTATTTAAAAATAATGAGAAAAGGATGGGAAATAGTGAAATAATTTAACTGGATTTGAAGCTTGGTCTATTCCTCAATATTAGTAATACAAAAGTTCCTTTGACCTCTCAATGCTTAGTTTGTTTTAGGTAGTTGGGGGAAAGAGAGGCTAGTTTAAAGAAAACGTAACTTGATTACTTTGATGTCAGTTCATACTGTTACTGCAATTTCAGTATAAAGGTTTTAAGTGACAGTTACATTTATGTGCATGTGATGTTATTTATAAGTACTGGTACCTCTTTTAAAATGGTCTTGATTTAAATAGTGCTTCCTTGTTGAAGGAAGAAATTTCTAATTTCTCCAATTAAAGTGGGGTTTTGTTTTTATTTTGGATGCAGTTTAGGCACACTTCTGATTCTGGTTGGCAAGACTTCTCACTACGCTACGCTAAACAAAATTTGTCACACTGGATGGTCTCATACTTTTTCCTCCCACTTACCAGATCAAAGTTTAAGTTGTTGAGATGATCTGTTTTGAAACATTCTGCCCTTACCTGCAATATATTTTTAATAACTTAAAAGAGTAATACGGATAAATTTCAGGGTTTTACAAATAGATGTCAGAATCATAACACAAACTTAGGTTTTAAAGGATTGTGAAATTCCTTAAGTAAGCAAAGAATCTAGTAATAATACTACTACTTTGCACTTCTATAGCGCCTTTGACCTGAGGATCTCAAAGTGCTTTACAAACACTAATCCTCACAGCACCCCAGTGAGGTAGGTAATTTAATTTTAAAAGAAATCATTAAAAGTGTCTGATTAGAAGGTGCACAAACACTATGTGTCCTTTTTAATTTTTGGTTGGAAGAAAATATGAACATAAGACTCAAGCTTTTCTTGACAGACTGTTCTTGTGGGAAGGAGGGGGTGCAAAATCAGATTTTAGTTTTCAAGCAATGACCGTAAGAATCTTAAAAAAATATTTAGAGTTAAATCTTTTAGATCATTACTATTGCCTCTTTTTTACAAATGAGAAAATCTAGGCATTAAGTGATGACTTAGTGGCAGAACTAACATAGACCCCAAAACACGTCACCTTTTCAATGTTCTTTGCCTTTTCATGTTAGATAGATAACCAGCATTTATAATTTAGAGCCATTCGCCCTTGAATATATATTTTTTTGCTGAAAGTAATGATCCATCATGCATGTAGTTGGAAAATTTCTGAGAAAAACAATTTACTTTTTTTTTTTTTTTTTTTTTGCTTTTGGGGTCACATTTGGCAATGCACAGGGTTCATTCCTGGCTCACGCACTCAGAAATCACTCCTGGTTGTGCTCGGGGGACCATATGGGATGCTGGGAATCGAACCCGGGTTGGCCGCGTGCAAGGCAAACACCCTACCCACTGTGCTATTGCTCCAGCCCTGGAAAAAAATCTACATTTTAAAATTTGAGAAATATTTTGTTTGAGAATGAGGTCATTTCATCATCTGTTGGTGGCCGTTATTAAAGTCCAAAAAAGAAAAAAAAAGCAAAATCACCCATTTCATGGAATTGTTTGCTTTAGTGAGAGTTTATAAGATGTAGTCAATTGTATCAAAAAATAAGTTTTATTGGGCTGAGAAGATAGCTCAATGACCTGGAGAACATGCTCCACATGCAGAAGTCCCAGGTTTTATCTCTGTCACTATACGGCTTCCTGAGCACTACCAGGTTTGGCGCCAAAGAATAAGATTTCCCAAGTTAAAAAAAAATAATCTCCTCTGACCTTTTGGCACTCTGCTGAAGATTTTGAAGCACTAATTTTAAGATACAAACTCTTGGGCCTGAGAGATAGATACTAGTGCAGATAAGGTGCTTGCCTTGCATGTGGCCAGCATGGGTTTGACGTTGGCACTGCGTGCAGTTACCCCGAACATTGCCAGGAATAAGCACTGAGCACTGTTGGGTGTGTGCATCCCCCCCGCCCCCCAATAAATAAAGTCTTTGGAGAAAAAAGAAACTCACCCCAGTAAACTGCTTCTTCTTGTGTATCCATCTCTTCTCTTTTTATTTATTTTTTTTAACTTGCTATCAGAGTCACTCCTGATGGTGCTTTAATGGTCACCAGGTCCATCACCTGGTTGGGGGTCAGGTGGGAGGCGTTGCACTTCACGGAGTCAGAGAACATAAGGCTTTGCACATACAAGCACGTGCTCTATACCAGGCCACATCCGCAGCCAGCACTAGATGGGTACAGAGATAGAGCCATGCCTGGCTGTTCCTTGGTCTTGCACCTGGCTCTGTGCTCAGGTATGGTTCTAGCAGTGCCAAGGAAACTGGCAGTGACTGCAGGGCAGATGCCTTACTCGTTGTACAATCTCTTTGGTACCTCAGCGCTATATTTTTTAAAAGATAATTTAAATGTCAATAATAATAGTTATTTTGGAGTGTTTAAAATTTTTTTAGGTGGAGTTTGGGCCATACCTGGCTCTGCATTCAGGAATTACTCCTGGTAGTGTTGGGGGAGGGGGGGCCTATGGGGCACCGGAAATGAGCATGAGCCAGCTAAATGCGAGGCAAACACCCTGCCCTCTGTTCTATCACTACGGCCCCCAATTTTTTTGTTTTTGTTTTTGTTTTGGGGCCACACCTAGTGTTGCTCTGGCCCTACTCCTAGTTCTGTGCTCAGGTTGGGGCTCAGGCTGCCAGGGATTGAATCCAGGTCAGAGGTGTGCAAGTCAAGCACCTTATTCACTGTACTATCCCTCCAGCTACCAGTGGTTTTGTTTGGGGGGGTGGGAGGGGATTTTAGATCACACCCTGTCCTACTCCTTGGCTATGTGCTCAGGGGTTGCTCGGTATAGTGCTGGGGAACCAAGTGGTGTAGGAGATGGAACCTGGACCTCCTGTATGTGTCCAACCCTGATAGTACTGGTTGACTCTCAACTTCTGCTTACCCTTCCTTCTCTTCCAAATGTTTAGTCTTGTTACTTAAGCGTGTTTGATCTCATTTAATCTCCACATTTTAAATTCTGTTTTATAGTTACGTGCTATCTTCAGAACAGAGTCTGGACACTCAATAAATATATCTAACATCTATGGATGTTTATTTCCAAACTTAACACATTGATTTAAGGTTTTAGAATTTGCATCTGTATTTCTACTTGTAAAACTGTTTGAAAAGTAGCGTAGTTAGAGATGACCTTCTGTTAATTTTTGGATAAATTAGTAGCAAAACTTTGGGGATTCAAAATAGGAGTTTCTAAATTTTATTCCAGCTTCTAACATTTCCAGCTACTTTTACATCTTTCCAATGTAACTCTTCGCTGACTCAGTTGGCGAGTCATTGTTTTTTTGGCCACACTGGCAGTACTCAGACCTGACTCAGGGCTCTGTTATTCTGGCATCATTCCTGGCAGGGCTCAGGAGCTATATGGGACCCGGGTATTGAACCTGGGTCAACTGCAACACCATACCCACTGTATGACTCCAGTGAGTCTGTGAGGTTGGTGCAGCTCTGTTGGTAAGCCACAAAAACATTTGCCATTTTTGTGGCATTAACCTCTCACTAAGTGTCAAGGTTCATTGCTAAACTGCATTCACTTCATTAGTGAATGTAGTTTATCCAGGAGCCGTAGTGAATCTGGTGATTCGAGCTTTGACATCTTTTAAGTCCACCTACCTTCCTGCCGCCCTGTAGAGGTGTCATGGTTCCTTTCTCACCCCCTCTCCGTACTTCTTGCTCCCTATCTGTCTCCTGCTTCACAATCAGAATAAAAAATCATTTTAATGGGTCTACATTCAGTTTGAGTACCTTGAACTTTTCTTTTGCTGTTTTCATAATATTTTTATAGCCAATACTTTGGATAGTTTTCTATAAAGACATAATTTTGGGGCTAGTGTATTAGTACCACGGGTAGGGCAATTTGCCTTTCACATGGTCAGCCTGGGTTTGATCCTGTCATCCCATTATGGTCTCCTGAGTGCAAACCCAGAAGTGAAGGCTAAGCTCATCAGGTGCGATCCAGAAACAAACAGAAAGATAGAAGGAGACAGGTAGGGAAATTGAGTCAGTAGGGTAGTGATTTCTCTAAGACATCAACTCTCAACTGGCTAGTAAGAGTTGAAAATTTTGATATCAAATCCCCAGGTTTTTTTTTTAATAACATGTCCTGAAATGGACGGTGGTGCTCTTACTAGCTCATTCTCATCACTTAACGTTAATGACTTTGGACAACAGAAAAGAAAGCGGAGTATGTCCTTTTTATTTTTAAGTTTTAACAACTCAAAAATACATAATTTATTGTGAAAGAAATTCTGTCTTTATCCTCTGACTATAGTTTTCCTCTTCTGATCAGGGATAGTTTGTATGTCAGACCCTCTACCAAGGCCCCTACATTTTATTTAATTCTCATAGCAAAATAATAAAGTTATATGCAAACTTACCACCTTTGTATCAAGGCACTACAAATTTATAAATAAGTTAGAACTCTGTGCAGACAGCTTTTCCGGCATCACGCGATCCAAGCTCATGCAGCATATATTGCAATGAATACCCATAGTGCTGAAGTTTATTTAACAGATGGAAAATGTTTTTTTGCTCTTCTAAGTAATGAGTATATATTTTAATTGAGGATACTTAATTTCATCATTTTGTAATGAAGTGTAAGTACTTGATCCTCAAACTATGAGATCCCTCAGGGGAAAATGGGAAAATTGGACTAAGAATTTGAAGACCTGGCTCTGGTTCACTTTATATTTGTGAATTCATGCACCCACATTTCTTTTCAGCTATCTGTTGTCGGGGCTTCTCCAACCA